TAATGAAAATCTTGCATATATTATTCGAGAAATTTTCTGTCGGTTGATGGGATGCTTTAGTAAAATATTAAATTTTTCCTTAGTCTAGACAGTTCTTTATGGGCGCAGCGAATTAAATTATTTACCATAAAATATTGTGAGTGTCAATTTAATGCGCTCTTAATTCGCTGACTAAATCCGAGAGCGAAGCAAATAATTGAATTCGCTCATAATGCGCTCACTTGGGCGCATTATCAGCGCGTTATGAATTAAAATATGCATCAATTCAATTCGCTTCGCTGTCTAAAAGCAAACAATAAATTGGAGCGCTCTACGGGCGCATTTTGAGCGCATCTAATTGAATTTAATTCGCTGCGCTCATAAGGCGCTGTTTAAACTACGCCTTAGTTCTGTGACAATGGTAGGCTGCGAGCATGGTGAAGCCTGCATCACAGACCAAATCGATCCAAATCGAGTGAAGAATCCGTTGTGTTGCAATTCTAACTCCCCGCCTGGTTTGGCGGGCACCTGATTGGTTAGTTACCAATTTTTTTATGCAATTTCTTTCTTAGTTCTGGCCCACAACCCCTGCCTGAAAATACGTTAAAGCAAGCAGATTTTAGCGGAAAATAGATAGAAAGAGGTTACGTTTTCTTAAGTTCCTCAAATGACGATTATATTTTGTTTTAAAAGTAAAAGCACGCTAAAGTTAGCTATTGTTTAAAAGCTAGGTCTTGTATGTACATTTGAACTTTCATGAAGGGTCAGTAGAAAATCATTTCAGATTGGAAACTATATTCAAGTTAGCTACTGCGCAAACTCCAATTTACAACTGATTTTATAATAACACTGTAAAACTGAATTAAGCTTTACTTTTAACATGCTTTTAACGATTTACTCTTTAAATATTAATTTTCAGAATGGAGCAGCAGGGTAATGCAATTATCAGTGATCAGCTTTGTGGTGATGAAGAGGAGCCAGGGGGACCACGGGGGCATAGCCCCCCCCATTTGCGAAAAGTATAAACAAGTGCTCCTTTTCGAAAAATATATAACATAACTCTGGACGTTGTTGGAGGACCATTCACTGAAAATTCCTTAAATTGCAGTTGGTTCAGCAAGCTCCTGTGATGAACAATATCAACTGCGAAGGAGACTGCCAGTTTCGTGAGAAAATTTCCTTAGTATGTCTTCAGCAACAAAATCATTAGTGAAAGGTCCTATCAAGTCCCCGGTGGGCACAGTCAGTTGGTCCAATGTATATCGTGTGTGTTTTTGAAAGTAAAAACTGGACCCCTATCTCTGATTCTGGGTTGTGTAAAATGTACCCTATTATGTGCCTTTGACAAAATTGTGTAACTCTTTTCACTGAGAATATTCAAAGAATTTTATTGAGCAGTAATTTTTGATAAAAACAAATTTAGTGAACTCTACTTTTCACTGAGCATGTTAGAGCCATTCTTTTCTTAAACTTATGTCTAGGCAAGTTAAAAAGCAGAGTTCACTAAATTTGATTTTAACAACAATCCCTTATGGCTCTTGACATATATATTAATAAAATCAGGCATCTGTAAAACTTCAGCTGCAACATATTGCTTGCTTCATAACATTATGTTCGATATTATTTACGAAGAATGAAAATTTTGTGTCCCTGCAATGAGTACATGCTAACAAAGACTTAAACAAAGACTTAAATTTCTTATTTAGGATTAAAACAATATACAAGACTAGACGTACTGCATAATTTGTTGTACTTCAAAATGCCATTGATTTACCCAAAAAATTATCTGCAATATCATATCAGTAAATTCCTGCCCATTTTGTGCTTTCTCTGACTGATTAAGAATGCAACCCTATTTTCAAGATTCTATGTCCCAGAATTCTAGCTTTTTTCAAATTTTCGGAACTCACATGTTATACGTTTGACCAACTGACTGAGCCGCCCGGGATCAATTTTAAGGAGAGTTAAAAACTTGTTTCGTTAATAAGACTGACGAGATAAACCTAATCAATGTTACAAATTGAATTTGCTATGACGGTGAAGAATGTACCCGCACCTTCAGCCGATTGTGTGAAAATGACTTAACCATAAAATTTGTAGCTTTTGAAAAATATTCCATGGAGGCGAACAAATTTATGTTTAAGTGGGGCCTAAACACCCCTAGAGAGCACATACACCACAATTCCGGACAAAAATGGTTGAGACTTTTCAAGGAAAGCTTATATTTTCACTTTCCTTTAAAAAATAACTTCCCCCCTCCCCAATTCAATGTTGAATGCATGATTTTGAAGGAGAAATAATAGAACTACAAATCCAACATTGAATTGGGGGAAAAGGGGGGAATCGAGTTTACAGGGGCAAGGTATAGTAGAAAATTACAAAAATTGCATTTTGTCTCAACATTTTTGTCCGGAATTGTAGCTAACAATTGCACTGCTTAAACCCTAATAATTTAAAAACAAAAGAGCAGGTTTTCTTAGTCACGTGACAATACAAAAGGACGTTGATACAGTGCTTATTCAATTCTCCGGTCTTTTCAGGACACGGGATTTTAAGATTTGTGCGGATAATCCAAAATTCCGGATAATTGAAAATATACGAATAACGGCAAAAACCAGCATAAATAAACAGGATGATTGTTGTGAAAGTTTGTTTCTAAGCACACATTACAATCTAATGCACCTAATAGTTATAAAATACTCATAAAGTATTTAAAATGAAAAGCAATAAAAATGCACCTGATATATTATCAAAATGATGAAAATTTTCCTAAGGTTTTTTACATTTTTTACGGACCAGATAATCGATTCCGGATAAACGATGGGTCGGATAATAACTGAATTAATTTTAGCCACACCCTATAGATTCCCGCAGAATAGCGCTTTGGAATCATCTCATATCCCAGTATTTTGATTTGATATTTTGAAATGACCAATAGCTTCCCTAAAGCCATTGATGCCTAGAACACAAAATCTACAGACTAGCAAATTCCAATTCTCTGGGAAACTCCAGTCAAAGTTTATTCTCAACGTCCTAAGCAAAAGCTGGTTCAGGGCCTATTTTAGTGTGCAGTATTACACACTTTGTGCAGTATTAATTTAAAATTGTGCAGAATTGATTTCGAAAATGTGCAGTATTGAATTTTGGGATTTGTGAAAATGTCTAATTGCCGCTATCCCAGATTCTCGCTTTGTTCACAAAATGTGAATTTTCCCCGTCATTTCGATATAGAGGCCATGTAATGCAAATCTCGTATGACCATCGGAAAGACTCTCTTATCAAAACTTAAAACAAAACGAAATGACTAGAAATTTCCAAAAATTGCAACAACAAAATTTCCTATAAAAAATGTAGTTATAATTGTGCAGTATTAAAAATATCTTAAAATAGGCCCTGAGCTGGTAACAAGGGGCATTGCCTGTTGCTAACAAGGGGCATAAAAAAATCTACAGTAACTGACCTAAGCTCAAGCATTATCAAAAAAGTATGGATCTGCTTCAAATATTTTGGTTTGTAAAAAGGTAGAGTTCGTGAAAGGCCAGCAAAGAGATTTGAGGCTTCGTGCTTGAATATTTAAACACGCTTGAAACTATGGGTATGTCGAGTTTTCCAACTTGAAATTTAGAGTTTAATAATTTCTTTGTGTGATCCTGTGTGATCCTGTGTGATCAAAATACTTTGCAGCAGTGGCGTACCCAGGGCTGCAGTAGTGGGGGGGGGGGGG